TTTTCTTTTTTTTTTTGAGTCCTTTCCTGGCTTTGTTATCAAGGTGGTGTTGGCTTTGTAAAATGTGTCAGGGAGGATTCCATCTTTCTTGATGTTATGGAATAACTTCTGCAGGATAGGTACCAGTTCTTCTTTGTAGGTCTGGTAAAATTCAGGTGTGAAACCATCTGGTCTAGGACTTTTTTTTGTTGGGATATTTTTTATTGCTGCTGCCAGCTTGAATACTATGTGTCTTGGAGATGTTCTGTTTGCTACAAATCTTCCTGGAGTTCAATGATCATCTTGTATCTGCATGTCTGAATCTCTGGCAATACTGGGGAAGTTTTCTACAATAATTCCCTCAAATAGATTTTCCATGCTTTTAGCATTTTCTTCTTCTTTCCCTCAGGGATACCTATAATTCATATGTTTGTTTGCTTTGCATAGTCCCATATCTCTCTAAGTGATCGCTCTGCCCTTGTTGTTCTCTTCTCTGCCTCTTTAAATGACTGGTTTAGCTTAAGAGCCTTGTCTTCAAGCTCTGAGATTCTTTCTTCTCCTTGATTTAATCTGTTGTTGAAAATTTCTGCTGCATTTTGAAAATCCCTGAAAGATACTTTCATTTCTTTAAGCTCTATTATATCCTTCCCAATTTTGTCAAGCTCTTTAATGACTTTTTCATTAATTTCTTGAAATATTTTTTGGGCTTCTTTTTGTTGGTTTTCAACTTTCTCTTCGATTCCATTCATCTTATTCACCACCCACATTCTGAATTCCATTTCTGTCATTTCAACAACTTCCTTGTAGTTAGAGTTCACTGCTGTAGCTCCATTGTGATCCCTTGGGGGTGTTGATCTCTTTTGATCTTTCATGTTGCCAGGGTTCTTTTGCTGGTTTCTTATCTGAACCCTCTTTTCTGAGTTCCGGTTAATAGGTTTGCGGGACTCCTGTTCCTTGCTGGGAACTCTCCAGATAGTTGTAGGATATTCAAGTTGGGAGCTGGACAAGACTCTCTTTACTGAGGCTGGTGTTGTGGGGATTGCTTTACCCAGAGTCTCCCACAGAGGTAACTGCAGCAGCTGGATAAAGTTGTCATGGGTTCCTGGTTTGTGGGTGATTGGCTCAAAGCATGTCACAGTATGCTGGAGGCTTGAGGCTGGGCGGTCCCTGGACTTTGGAGCAGCTGTTCCAGCCCTGGTTTTGTGATGAAGGCTCTGGAGTGGGGTCTTGGGGTCCAGGTGCAGCACTGGAGACTTGGAGATGGTGTTTCAGGCCTGGTAAGATTTCTGGGGCACAGGGGTGGAGCCTCAGGCTCTGGAGTGAGAGCCTCAGAGCTGGGACTAGGAAGGAGCCCCGAGCAGAACCTCTGAGCAAGGCCTCTGAGCCAAAAGCGGGCCTGTGCAGATGGTGGGTGATCTGACCTGGAGGGCAGGGGTGGGGCCAAGTAGGTAGGAGGCAATCGTAGCCTGGAGGCCGGAGTTGGGGTGAGCAAGCAGCTGGCTGCTCCTCAGGTGCCAGGGTCCCGCTAATGCCAAGACAGGCAAGCTATTGTTGGCTTCAGCGGCCCAGGGACCATGGGCCTCTCCATGTTCCTCTTGGAGCCTGCCAAAGTGGCCTCCGCAAGCCTCTCCATTTGGAGCCTACCATGCTCCTGCATAAGAGGCTCCGAGCTGGGACTGGGGTGGAGCCCCAGGCAAAGTCTCTGAGCAGGGGCTCTGAGCCAGAAGTGGGGGCCATGTAGATGGCAGGCTGACCCAACCTAGAGGGTGGGGTCAGGGCCAGGCAGGCAGGAGGTGACTGGGGCCTGGAGGGCAGATTCAGGGCCAAGCAAACTGCAGGCTGTTTCTTAGGCACAAGGGTCCCATGGATGCCAGGTCAGATATGCAGAGGTTGCAGCTCTCCACACCCCACCCAGGACCCCCCAAAGCAGTCGCCCAGAACCTCTCAAATCGGGGCCTGCTGCTCTCCAGTCAATTCCTGTGCCCAGGTCCCACTGTGCTCTAGGGGCGAAGCGCCTGGCTTTAAGTTCCAGGGTACAGCTCGGGGAAGCCACAAGTCAGTCCACTCCTTCCCCAGCCTGGTATAGACCTGTTGTGGTGCACCTGAGAGTTCAGGATGGCTTAAGCTATTAGTTGATCCCCACATTGCCTGTTGTCTAATTGGCTCTGCACAATTCCTGACATGTCCCTGTCTGAGCAGGTAGAGGTCTGTGGGGATGGTGGGTGTCGCCTTGCAGTTCAGTCCGCCCTGCGCCAGCAGGGCGAGCTCGGTGCTCCTGCACTCCATTCTCCTATTGTTCTCCTCACACTCTCTAATCTCGTATATGGATCACCCCATCACCTTTTCTTTTACACTGAGTGTCCCGCGTTGCTTCTCTGTGAATTCACAGTGCCGCTTGGTATGTAGGCAGTTGCCTGCACCTCTCACTTCTTTCCTGGGGAGCAGTGAGCTGGCAGGCTGCCTCCAGTCCACCATTCCCCCCACGCCCACCATGTACCGTATTTCGTTAAGCTCTCCTCTCCCACAGGACACTTAGGTTATATCCGACTATTAAAAAAACCACTGCAATGAGCATTCTTTTGTATACATCATTGTGCACTTAGCTAATTATTTCCTTAAGACAAATTCTTACAGGAGGAATTGATGCATCAAAAGGCATACATATTTTTCAAGCCTTTGTTCCATATGTCAAATTGTCCCCAGCACGGCTGTTCTCTCAGAAAGTAGGTCCTTGTGGGGAAGCTTTCCCAGAGCAGATGGGAACTAAGCTGGAAGCCAAAGGATGTTTAAATAGAGACGGAGGCAGCTGTGAGAGGCAGTACGGGGTAGTGGGGAGAGCACTAACTTTAACTTTGGTGGCAAGCCTGGCTCCATCCTCACACACTGTGTGACCTTGGGCGAGTTTCTTAACCTCTCTGAGCCTCTCTCTCTCTTCACCTGTAAGTGGAGATAATACTACCTATCTGTCACTAATGTAAGGTTTAGAGACAATGTATATGAAAACCTTGCATAGCTGTGCACTAAATATTTCTTGGATGGATGAAATGAATTAATGGTTGGGACAATGGAGGAATCTTTAAAAAAGAAAAGAAAAGAAAGGAAGGATGAAGAACAAGGGGGCAGGATGTTTGCTGGAAGGACTGGCTTGTGGGAGAGGGATGGCTGCTTTAGGGGAGTCCTAGGAGAAAAGGCGAGAAAAGGGTGGTCCAGGCTAGGCAGACACTTTCTCTCCACCACAGATGCTGGTGGCTGGTGGGCAACTGTGTCCCTGTTTCACAGTGATGCCCCTGAGGTCCAGGTGTACGTTGGCCCTCCCAGAGGCAGATCCACCAACCCAGCGGAGCCCCCTACCTTGACGAGTTTGCCAGGATCCAATGAAGGGACCCACGCTGCCTGCCAGCTCACACTTCTGAGCCCAAGGACCATTGTCTCCTAGAAACCAAAAACAGCACAACAGGTCAACACTAGACAGAAAAAGGGCTTGTAGAAACAAATATGACCCTACCCTTGAAGAACTACCCGTGATAAGGGGCCTGTCTCTACTGGGCTGTCAGTGAGGGGTGGCTTTTCCCGCTCCAGTCTATCCAATCCATCCCTGCCATGAGCCTCTTGCCCTCTATTCCTTTGCCTTTTTATATAGTTTTAGCAACCCCATCACCAGGGTCATCAGCATCAGCCCCGAAACTATTTATTGAGCACCTATTATGCACCCAGTGATTCGCCTACACCATCTCATCATCCTCCAACATGCTATGTAGTAGATCCCGTTATTAGCTCAAAACTGCAGACGAGGAAATGGAAGCTTGGAGGGATGAAGGTAACTCCCCCAATAGTAGAGTACAGATTCAAACCCAGGTCTTTACTTGACTCGAAAGCGGTGCTTTTAACCATTGCCCTGGCTCCAGACAGGGACCTGAGACATGCAGTGCATGTATGGGCCCTTTAAATGGGTCACCAGTTCAGCTCACTAAGGCAGCGCAGCCAAAAGATGTGACGTGGTGACTGGTGGCAACCGGAGTCTTTGGGACCATGGATGATGGGGAAGCGGGAAATCTTAGAACGCCACAAGGACTACACAGGTTCACAATGTCAAAGTCATTCATCAGCAATTAAGAGCAATACCCAGACAGCCCTAATCAATACACAAGAGGCCCGCAAGGTGCCCGCTCTGCCTGTGCGAACCTTCCCAGGCACTCGGTCTCGGAGGCTCAGCATTCAAGCCAACAAACATTATCAGGGTCCCAAGTTCAAAGCGAGCCCCCTCCCCTGTTAAAGAGGATTACTGAGCCAGCCTCTGCTCTTCAGGGGGCGTGTGTGCAGGGTTATCCATTAGACCACAGTGAGGCCGGCGGGTTTTTACTACTTTACCTGTAAACCAGAGGAATGTGTTTTCTTTTGCTGTGCGGTCAACTGTGTCCTTGATCTGGCCCACCAAGCTGTCCATCTCGCGGAGACCTGCACCATACAGTCTTCGGCCCCCTGGGGCTGCTGGTATCTGGGTCACAGATAAGGGCACGTGCATGTGGGCCAGGGCCACATAGAGCAGGAAGGGTCTTCCGCTGGCACTGAAACAGGAAAGCCAAGAGGTGACCCTGCAGAAGGCCCTCCTGGCTGATCCTGCACCTCCGTGATCCTCCCCCACCTTGGGGAAAATTCCCAGATCCCCTTCTGCCCCGTGGGCTCAGGAAGGACACATTCATCTACCGCCATCCAAGGAAACGTGGAAACAATCTGGTTAGCCGATTAAAAATAAGAATCATTGTAATATGGTTACTGTCCCTTACCAGGTACTGAGAGCTTGTTATACGGGACTCATGTTGTCTACGTTCATCCTCATGGTAACCCCCAAGCTTCCTTTTTCAGATGAAGAATCAGAAGCTTCAGGATTAAAGGACTTGCCCCAGGTTATGCGATTAGTATAAGTGCCAGAATCTGGATTTAAACCCAGATGTGGCTGAAAGCAAAGCCCTTGCTCTTAGCTGGTGTACTCTGAAGTCCAAGGCACTCAAATTTTTAAATTTTATCTGCTATTTTGCAGCATCTAGGCCATCATGGCCACTGCCAGTCTCATCCCTTTCTAAGAGATGACCGGTTGGCTCAAGTTGACCACAGGGAATTGCAAGGACACACATGACCACCAACCAGGTAACACCTAGATCAAGGGTCTGCCAGAGGCCCCGGTGCCCTGCTGCCTCCATACTGACCCTGATTCCCCTGGAAAGTGGGAATGAAAGGCTTGGAAGCAGCTGGGCGGCCTCTGTTACCACTCAAAGAGCTCCATGTCTGTCCCAGTGCCGTTCCCAGGCAAGGGCGGCTGCAGAAACACAGCAACAGCAGGCCCCTGCCCCAGGCCACACCCATGGGGGGCTTTCAGAGGACATAGAGTGTGGCGGGCAAGCTTAGTCACGTATGTAGAGAGAGCGGCTCTAACCATTTCACCAGAGCTTCCACTTTCAGATCGGCCTCGGGTTCTCCTTAGCTCAGCCTGGGTGACAGCACCCACAGCCCCAGCTCTGCATCCAGTCCACCCTGGAGAGCCCCAGCGTCCAGGCTCCCAGGGCGTACTGAGTGGGCCTGTGCTTGCACTAGCTCCCTTTGACAGCCATGAGATCCAGGACACAAGTCCCAAGACAGGCGCCTCTGCTTTCCCCATTTTAACCAACAGCTTCTTGGCAACATTTCTAGAGTTGAGTTGTCCAGTGCGGTAGCCACAAGTCATGTGTGGCTCTTTGGATTTAAATTAATGAAAATTAAATCAAATTTAAAATTCCATGTCCCACATGCTACCACATGGATGATCCCTGAGGACATTATGCTAAGTGAAAGAAGCCAGTCTCCAAGGACAGACGCTGTGTGATTCCGCTTGCATGAGGTACCTGGAGTAGCCAAACTCAGAGACAGAAGGTGGAACAGTGGGTGTCTGGGGACGGGGGTGCGGCAGGGCAGAGTGATCAGGGAGTTAGTGTTTAATGGGGACAGAGTAGAGTTTCAGTTAGGGAAGAAGAAAAAGTTCTAGAAATGGATGGTGGTAATGGTTGCAAAACAATGTGAATATACTTATTGCCACGAACTGTGCACTTAAAATAGTTAAGACGGTAAATTTTATGATATATGCACACCTACAATAAAATACACAAACATACACACTCGTAAATTCAGTGTCTCAGTTGAGCTCAGGGGAGCGCACCTGTAGTCACAGGTACGCAGAAGGCTGAGGCGAGAGGATCACTGGAGCCCAGGAGTTTGAGACCAGCTTGGACAACACAGTGAGGTCCCATCTCTAAGATAAATTAATAAATAAGTTCCTTGTCTAGCCACATTTCAAATGCTTGGTGACGTCTCCCCAGTAGCTTGAAATCAGCCACGGTGAGAGTATTTACACCACAGAAATTGGCAAATGCTACAGACTGGGGCTATTTTCTCTGAGACCTGGTAAACATTTACCAGCTCATCGCTACATACGGGCTAGGGGTGGTCCCATGGCCCACCCTTTGTCACCCTCCCAGCATCATCCTCCAAACTCCCCTCATTATCAAAGTCACATTAGCACCCTGGGCAGAGGCTCAAAGTGGCGTATGCTGATGGGAGACAGCAGAGCACACTGATGAAAAACACAGGCTCGGAGGACCTGTATCCCAATCCCAGGATTTTTTATTTCATGGCTATATAACCCTGCGCAATTAACTTAACCACTGTCGTCTACAAAACGGTGACAGTCACACCTCCCCGACAAGTTTGTTGTTATTAATTGCCCATAGTATTTAATAAATGATAGCTTTTTTATTAATAATTCTGAATAATACATGCCAGCCGTAGTGAGGATAAATGGTACCCGAGGATGTACCTCTGTCCCTGCATCCCGATGCCAGGCTAGAATTCACAGAGAAGGCATTGCGCAGAACCCACACAGACTAGTCCCTGGGGGCATCTGTCCCGCAAACCACCCCTTCGTTATGCACCTGTGCTGAATGCAAATAGGTAAGGAAGACCCGGTGCTTTCAAGCGGGAAAAAACCTGATCATAAGACAATGTGATGCCATTTTTGTTTTAAAAATGTTGATTTCAATTATACCTTAATAAAACTGGGGGGAAATAGGTTTATGTACCAGCATAGAATGTCTGTACCAGAAGAACATATTCAGAATCTATTCAGATCTATTAAATCATACTCAGATCTATTAAAAGGGGCTATCTTTGGGGTGTGGAATTCAGGGTGACTTCTTTTCTGTTTGTTTGTCTCTATTTTGGAGATTTCTAAGGAGAATACACATTATTTGGTGGCAAAACAAGTGGAGGGGTGACCAGAGAAGAAAGAAAACAAGTAAGATTCCGGAAGGGACATTCTCGGAGAGAGAGGATGGGACAGGCGAGAGCCGCACTGAAGATCGTGACACAGGGACAGCCACGTCTGGAGGAAATCTGCTCTGAAATGGAAAACGGCAGGCGAGGGGCACCCACCTCTCGGGAGGGGTCCCCAGATGGCGCCGACCAGAGAGAGGCAGGCTTGGGGGGAAGGCAGGGCTTCCCTCAGCCAGGGCGGAGCGGGCACCCGTGGTGGCTCCCTGGGGAAGGATGGACAAGGGGTCTCTCTGCAACGGACTGCTGCAATAGCCACTTGACCCCACCCCACACATTTTGCCGCCTCCCTCGGGCCCTTAAACTCACAGACACCCTTCTTGGACCCAGACTTGATCCGACGGTTCCCTGTTTGGAAACCTCCTGGGGCTCAGTGCAGCCTGGGGGGTCAGTACGAACTCCACACCCAGCCTTCCCCATCTGGGTCCCTTCCAGCCTCACCTTCCTTCCCCTCAAAGCCTCTTCCCACGTGCCAGCGCCCTCCCTGGTATCCCGCCTAATCAATTCTTAAGATCCAACTCAAAAGCCACCAACACTCCTCCTTTTCTCCCAGGTCATGGCTGGCTCCCTCCTCTCTGCCCTTACCCGCTGTCATAGCCCTTTTTCCCTTTTTTCTTACAGCATTGATAAGACACAAACAACCTGCATTACAGCCAGGTCTTTATATTCCTGTTTCCCCACTAGCCTGGGAGTCAAAGGCAGGGACACGTCTGATTCACGTGTGTATCCCTAGCACAACACTGGCGCATCCCTGGGGCTGGGTAAAGTAACTCAGTCATTTATTCATTCATTCAATAAACACTCATCACGCTCTAACAAGGCCCCACGCACTGGGGACAGAGGGATAAGCACCGTAGATATGATTCTTACTCTCCTGGAGCTTAATGTCTAATTGGGAATGGGAGAGAGAAAAATGCAACTAAAAAATAAACGAGGTGATTATTTACAAATTTAGTACAGGTTGAAGCATCCCACATCTGAAAATCCAAAATCCCAAATGCTCCCAAAACTGAAACTTTTTGAGCACTGACATGACTCTCAAAGGAAGTGTTCATCAGAGCATTTCGGATTTTGGATTTTCAGACGTGGGATGCTCAACTGGTAAGTATAACGTAAATGTTCCGAGATCCGTAAAAATCCAAAATCTGAAACGCTCCTGGTCCCAAGCGTTTCAGATAAGGGCTACGCACCCTGCAGGAACGATGGGGAGAAGCCCACGGTGGGGCGGAAGGTGCAGCAGGGAACCAGGCGGGCCCGGGGGGCAGAGGGGAGCGGGGATCCCTGAGAAAGTGGGGCCCGAAGGGCCAGTGGCTGCAGGTGGGCCGTGGGTGGTGGCCGCTCAAGGCAGAGAGCACAGCACCGGGAAGATGTGAGATACGATTGCCCTGCTAGTCATTCGTTCTCTCATTCACTCATTCGATTCCATCCCAGCACTCAAACAGGGGAGAGTAGCGGTTGGAGGGATTGTGGTCTTCGAGCTGAGCCTGGATCCCTGATGCAGGTGGCAGGTGGCTGTCACGTGGGGACTGGGTGAGAAGAAGGATGAGGAGGGACAGCACGCAGTGGGAGCACTTAGACAAGCAGGGGACGACAATGAGGGGCAGCGAGTCAAGGACGAGAGAGAGTTCTGCAGATCATGGGCTTGTTTCTCATCTCTGTGCCTCTAGGACCGAGTTCTGAGCGATGAATGCCCTGTGTCTTAGTCTGCTCAGGCTGCTTTAACAAATACGCCATGGCTTGGGTGGCTTAAACAACAGACATTTATTTCTCCCAGTTTGGAGGCTGGGACGTCCATGCTCTGGGAAGGGCTTGGTTCTGGCTTGTAGACAGCAGTTTCTCACTGCGTCCTCGCATGGCTGAGAGTAAAAGAAGTTTCTGTCTTTACTGGGACACTAATGCCACCATGGGGGCTCAGCCCTCCCCCATGACCTCATCTACACCCAATTACCTCCCAAAGGCCCCGCCTCCTAATACCAGCCCATGAGGAGTTAGAGTTTCAACATTAGTTTTGGCAGGACACAAATGCGCAGTCCACAACACCCTGGAATATTTGGTTTCCCACGTGGCTCTCATTTCAAATATCCTGAGCCACTGTTCGCTCCTACCCAGTCCACGTGTGCTCACCAGACCCTGAACTCCCTCCCAGGTGCGATGCACAGTCCCACACCCCATAAGGAGCAGAGGCCTGGCCAGCTCTGGGACCCAAGAAGCCACGCCATCTACTGACTCCTTTTTTGCCTACTCAGAGTTCTATTTGCTGGTTTAAAAACCCAAATCAAGGATTAGCTTTCAGCATTGATGCTCGATTAAGGGTCTAAACTCAGGCAGGGTGTGGTGGCTCCCACCTGTAATCCCAGCACTTTGGGAGACTGAGGTGGGAGGATGGCTTGAGGCCAGGAGTTTGAAAACAGCCTGAGCAACACAGCAAGACCTTGCCTCTACAAAAAATTTTTAAAATTAGCCAGTGTTGTGGTGCACGCCTGTAGTCCCAGCTACTCAGGACGCTGAGGCAGGAGGATCTCTTGAGCCCAGGAGTTCCAGGTTGCTGTGATGACGCCACTGCACTCCAGCCTGGGCAACAGAGTGAGACTCTGTCTCCAAAAAAAAAAAAGGGGGGGGGGTGCGACTGGAGGAGTCTAAACTCAAGAAAAGATCCAAGTAAAAACATGCAGAGAAGTCCTGGGGTGGGCTCTTTGCCAGGGAAGAGCAGGAAACCACTCTAGAGACACCTGGTAGTTTTGACAAACAGGCCCAACCGGGGGATGGGCCTTGAGGAGGGGGCAGAAGTCATGCAGGAGGGAGCACAGGTCTCGGGGCCTTTGCTGATGCTCGGAAAATCATGCATGACTTGGCACGTCAATGCTAAAGAGATCAGCATGCCTGCGATTACCCTCTGTGCAGTTAAACACCAACGGGACTCATGTGACTTCGCACTTAATAACTAATTAATAAATTAGCAAAGTCTTTGCCCTTTTTGTATGATAAGGAGACCATTAATTGATTCATCTTTTAACTGATTAATTGACTGGTGGAAGTCCAGGCCCCACGCCCACTTTAGAGCAGGCACTGAACAGACCCAGTCCCCAGCCGGTCACCTTCCCTCCCTCTCAGAACACTGTGTGGTTTGAGCCACCACGAAAGTAGGTGGGACTGTCCCCACCAGCCATGAAGCATCCACCTGCCACGGGGCACAGGAGCCTGAAACCATCTCAAAGCTCCGGAAGATGCTCCACTCTCCAGATGGGAGAAAAGATTTTGCCCTTTTTATATCAACAATCTGAAATAAAACAACAGTGTTCCTCAGAAAGTCCTAACAAATCCTAAGACGCAGTCTCTGAAGCCCTCCAGGGCTGCTTTTGAGATTAAGGTCTTACCTAGGTTTTATTATCCAGAAAACATAATGCCTGGATCTCCTCCATTGCTGCCTCTACCCAACCTGCTGACATCTCATGAAAATATGACGAGGGTAAGCAAGGACGGGGGACTCTTGCACATTCCAGGGGCTGTGTGATCATCCGTAGGGAAAGTCCATTTTTAATTCTGTGCAAGTGGACATTTGCCAGTGGCCGTGCAGGACATTTCTTCCTGTCCACTTAGGCTAAGGCTACGAAAAATACCAAGGGACCTATTGGAAACTATTCCACTGAACTTGAGGTGTTTACAATCTCGGGAGAAAGACAATGACCCTGTGGGGTCATTGAGAGCAGCACCATGGCACTCGGGGAAGGTCAGGGCAAGTCCTGGGCGGTGACTGTGCGTGCATGTATGTACGTGCGCTTGCACCCCACGGTCTATGCACGTGCCCCCAGACGAGCATGCACGATTTGGGAGTCGTCCACTGTTTCGCAATGTCCACTCTTTGCTCTGACACCTGACAGAGTTTGCAAACCAGCAGCCCTCACGCAGACATGATTTGTTTGAGATACACTGTGGTTTGGTTCTCGTTTTGCTTTTTTGTTATTGTACTAGTATTACAGTTTATAACATTTAAAGATCAGGAGATTTCACATAAAAGCCAGGTATCCTGTCTCTCTTGTAAAATGGTCAGATCTGACATTCCAGGCTCACATGTCCACAAAGAAGCAACAAGCAGCCAGGGCTGGGTAGCGGCTGCCCCCTTTAGTTGCAGTATGTGCTTACAAATTCACCGCAGGCCCCGCCACTCCCTAATGCCTTACGCTCAGCCTGCTTCCCTCTTTCAGGTTACCCGTCTGGGCCCTGTAGATGTTGGGATTTGTAACCTCTGCGTGGTAGACTGAATAATGGCCCACAAAGGATCTAATTCCTGGAATCCCTGCATGTTACTTTATATGACAAAAGGGACTTTGCAGAAGGAATTATGTTAAGGATGTTGAGACAGGGAGATTATCTTGGATTTACCTTGGATTCTCCTGGTGGGCCCTAAATGCAATCACAAGTGTTCTTATAAGAGAGAAACAGAGGGAGATTTAACTACAAAAGAGGAAACGGCAAGGGAAAAATAGAAGTGGAGATTAGAATGATGTGTCTCTAAACCTCTAAACCTTCCAGCAGCCACTGGAAGGCGCTTCTCCCTTAGAGACTCCAAAAGGAAACAGCCCTTCCAACACCTTGATTTTAGCCCCCTAAGACTCATTTCAGACATCTGGCCTCCAGGACTGCAGGAGAATAAGTTACTGTTGTTTTAGCCTCGAAATTGGTGGTTGGTTGTTAGAGCAGCAACAGGACGTGGTTACACCCTAATGAATGTCAACTAATGAATTCAACAAAAGGCCTTGGGCGCCCAGAACACAGTGGGCAGGAACTACCCTTGAGGAGCTTATGCCCTAGTAGGAGAGGATACAGTGATAATGACAGTGGAACATGATCAAAGCAGCAGATGGGTAAGCCCCGAGGAATTTTGACGGATACACTTGAGGAACTTCTAACCCCAGATGGGAGCTACCAAAGACAGCTGTTTTCCAGTTTTCTTTACAGGAGACATACACGTGTCCATCTTGTCGAGCAACAGAACTCTGCCATGGCCTTGCGAGTGCTGAGGCCAAGGGACCTGGTGCGTGTGCACGGGTGGGTGGGAGCAGGGGCGGCCCCGGGGCAGGAGGGGGCTCCTTACCTGGCTTGCTGGATAAACCGGGCTGCTTTCTCAGCATACTTCTGTGCAAGGTCGTTCAGGTTCACCGGCTGCTCCACGATGTTGAGGTTTTCATAGAGAGGAAGGGCCACGTCGGTGTAGCAGTCTCTCTCAGGGTTCCTGAGTGTAGACAGTAAGGTTATTCATTTCCACAACCTGAGAAGTCACGGAGTAGAACAAAACGTTTCAATGCAACGACGCACGTAAATATAAAACACTTATCAGCCGGGCCCCAAATGATTTTGCCAGCAGCCATTTCCCCAAAGTGTAAAACCAACATATATGATACTTTCTTCCATTCCCTTTGAATAGATGTTTATGCTTCTTGGACAAGCTGGCCACTCCGTAAAGCTCACAAAGATTCTTGTGAGCTGGGGACATTATTATTCCCATTTTGCGGGGAGAGAAACTGAGGCCTAAACAGGCTAAATTATTTCAAGCAGAGTCCCGTAGACGATCACTGCCAGCTTTCTCCACTGTCCAACCTAAATGTTGGCCCCCGTGTATGGTGTGCAACACTTTGCATTTCACTGAGTCATCGATCAGGACTTCGTGTGACACCAAGTCTGACACTAGGACAGAATATATAAGATGGCCTGGAACAATTTAATTTTCAGCCACATTTGGAGAATTTAGAGGAACTTGTGGGGGGGAAGGAAAGTTAAACCAATAATATCTTCTGGAAAAAACAAACTCAGCCTTTGATCTTACAGATCAAAATGAATCTGACCCATGGCTGCCCCAACAGTGTGGCTGAGTGGTTACTCTGGTCATGATCTCAGGCAAGCTTCCTAAGCTCCCAGAGCTTGAGTTTCCATCTCTGTAGCACAGGGTTGCTACAGACACCCACACAGGGGTAGCAGGGGTCTCAAGGAGATAAATGGTTAGTGCGTTGCGCACTGCTCGGTGCACTAGGAATTCAGTAAAAACTCAAGCTCTCTCGGCCCTGGTTGCCGCAGAGAACCAGGCGGGAAGCTGAGAGCAACAGAGATAGGAGGTGATGGGAGGCCCCTCAAGCAGATAAACTGTCCTCCTCTTGCAGGGAAGAACCTGTGCAGAAATCAAAACTCCCCATCACACATACACACACACACGCTCTCCATTATATTAACAGAATGTAGGAGATAAGGTCAGGTTGGGGAGACAATTGCCAAGGACCACAGTTTTTTAAAAAGAGGAAAAGAGTCATCACCATGCTGGGCACCGTAATGGTAATCCCATATTGTGCTGAGTTTTTTAGCTTTTGATCCCTAGTTGATTCCCTAGTTGCAACTCCACCATCATTTCCATTCTCTCCTCCCCCTCCGCCCCCACTTAAAGCCAACCCTCAGGCCGGGCGCGGTGGCTCACGCCTGTAATCCTAGCACTCTGGGAGGCCGAGGCGGGCGGATCGTTTGAGCTCAGGAGTTCGAGACCAGCCTGAACAAGATCGAGACCCTGTCTCTACTAAAAATAGAAAGAAATTAATCGGACAACTAAAAATATATAGAAAAAATTAGCTGGGCATGGTGGCACATGTCTGTAGTTCCAGCTACTTGGGAGGCTGAGGCAGTAGGATTGCTTGAGCCCCACGGCACTCACTCTAGCCAGGGCAACAGAGTGAGACTCTGTCTCGAAAAAAAAAAAAAAGCCAACCCTCTATTTTCTATTTAATTTTAACACAGGTTAAAGAGAGACTGGCTGACATGTCATACCTGGATATGGCCAGGTGTGATGGCCAGGCCACAGCTGGTGAGGAGGACAAGGAGATGCCCTAAAGCCTCACTTCTCATGCTGTGATGAGCATACAAGTCACCTGGGCATCTTGTTAAAATACAGACCTGGAAGCAGAGTCTGGATTTCTGCATTTGTTTTTCTTTTTCTTTTTTTTTTAGAGATGGGGTCTCATTCTGTTATGCAGGCTGGAGTGCAGTGGTGCAGTCATAGCTCACTGCAGCCTCAAACTCCTGGGCTCAAGCGATCCTCCTGCCTCAGCCTCCTGAGTAGCTGAAACAACAGACCGCACCACCACACCTGGCTAATTTTTTTTTTATTATTTTTCAAAGAGACAGAGTCTTGCTATGTTGCCCAGACTGATCTCAAACTTCTGGGCTCAAGCGATCCTCCCACCTTGGCCTTCCAAAGTGCTGGAATTACAGGAGTGAGCCACTGTGCCCAGCTCAAGAATTTCTGCATTTGTAACAAGTGCCCAGGGAATACCCACGATGCCGGTCTAATGACCACACACTTCGAGTAGCAAAGATATGGAGGACATGGGTTCTGGACTCAGAGAGACCAGACTGGAATCTCCATTCCTACCTCTTACCAATTCTGGTGTGACCAGGGCAAGATAAACTTCCTTGCCTGTAAAATCAGGCACATAACTGCATCACACAGTGGCCACGTGGATTACAGATAGGTATAGTGAGTGCCTAGAATGTAATAATCTCTCAATAAATAGCCACTATCATATGAACTATTGTGTTATTAAGGGGCCAGCCGAGACTCGCCATTCCCAAGTGGCTCAGACACCTGTAGCCTTAGAAATAACCACAGTGCACTGTCTGAACAAGCGGAGTGTTTGTGGTTTGTGCCACTTAATAACCTGAGTAAGGCTTATCTTCTTTTTCTCATCATAAATGCATTGCATGCCCATGGCAGAATATTTAGGAAATACAACGAGAAAGAAAAAGTGAAAACCGTTCGTCCCACAGCCAGAGTGAGCCCTTGATAACATTTTAGCATCTCTCTTCTGAGTCTCTCTTGAGAGGGCTACAAAAACATGGATACAGAGGTAGTTAATATTATACTGTTGATGACTTGCTTCCTGCTTTTTTCACTTACTGTTACATCATGAGCATTTTCCCACTTCATTGAGTATGTTTTAAAAACATCCTGTTTAGTGCCTGCACGGCATTCCAACGTCAGAATGCTGGCTTTCTTGTCCGGAGGTGAGGAAGAAGTTCAAAAGGATCCCTGCTCACTTTCCCTCTCTCTCTCTTTCTCTCTCTCTCTCTCTCTGTCTCTCTCTCTCTCTGTCCCTCCTTATGTCCAGTGTCTGGGCCAGGTGAGTGGACCAGGAGCAAAGCCAGCAGGCAGAGGAGGAGGGAGGCCTCCGCCCGCCCCGTGTAAAACCTTGGCAGCACAAGGCGCCCCCCAGCTGAGCTAAATAATCCTGGAAAATTCCAATAGAAAATTTTGCAGACCTCACCTTTGCTGAAAGTTTTCTTGCACTCCCTGCAAATAACGGGTTTCAATTTGGACTGAACGTACGCTCTCTCTCATGTGCTGTCTTGACAGACCACAGCCTTAGGACTTCACCTTGCCCTGGAGCCCACAGCAAACGCATTACCCAGCATTACCTTGGTGGTCCGTCGCCCTGTGGACACGCTGGACAAGGAGGGTGGTTGTAGCCCGGGGTATCAGTGCAGCCCATATCGTGGCTATATGGGATTCCAAAGTAGTAATCGAAACCTGGAATACAGGCAACTGGTTAGCACCCCCACCTGGCTACGCTCCTGTGCCTGCCTCCTTACTCCCATGGCAAACATTTAATTTCCTATGATTTAATATTGCAGTGCTATGTAATATGTAATTAAAAGAGGATTTGATTAATATCCTTTTGTAGTATGCATAGAAAATCACTTTGCCTGGTTCTGGCTGTAAAACTAGATTTGCAAAACATCTTGTGATTAGAACGAACCCAGATTGGGAGGAAGCAGGGAGAATTACTGAACACCTAACATCTTCAGTGGAATTATGGACACATTGAGTAAGTATTTGGTGAAATCCTATAATGTGCATGACATGTTAAGGGATAAAAGAACAAATTCTGCCCTCAAGAGACTTTCCATCTGAAGGGAAAATAGGATATACAGATTAAACCATGAGAGATGGATAGGTTAGCTAACAAGAAGGATCTGAGGATCTTGGGGTCCCAGTGGCTTTGTGGGATTCCCTGCTCTGTGTCTCTCACAGGTGAAACTACATTAGTACTTCCCGACCCAGTTTTGGCACGACGTTTCCTACAGAATTTCCCACCCACTGCAGTCCCCATTCCATTCACACTCCCGGTACCTATAGCCTGTAGACTTTCTGTCACCAGAAACTTTCTGTATCATCTGTGACACAGGTCTTCCCCATTAGTGATGTCCTCCTTGAGCTAGGGCATTAGTTCTTTGTCAACCCAATGTGTGGTGTATGTAGCATGACTAGTAAATGTTTGTTGTGCTGAAAAAAACTTTTTCGTTACCTCCATGCTAGCCTGGTTTGTACAAACAGATTTGGATACACCACAGGACAATGACATAGCCCTGAAACGTTACTGCATTTGGTATCAGGATGCATCTCGACCAGAGGCATCAAACTTTTTCTGTAAAGGGCCAAAGGGTAAATATTTTAGCTTTTGCAGGCCAGATGGTCTCTGTTGAGGCTACTCAACGCTGTTGCAGTGCAAAAGCACCCAGAGGTAATGTGTACACAAATGAGCATGGCTGTTTTCTAATAAAACTTTATTTACAAAAGCAGGCTATATATACTGGATTTGACCCACAAATCTATACCAACCCCGGGTCTATATCATAGGCATCCTCAGACCCAGATTTAGAAAGAGGTCTCATTTACAGGGACCCCGATCTGAGGAACCCAAGGCAGCAGGAGGACCTGGATGCGCAGAAGGAATGTGTGACTGCATCTGGCATGACCCAGGGCGTGGCTGAAAGGGCAGCCACGGGGCTGATGGGAACCAGCACCGAGCACCATGGAGAGGGTACAGGAGGCAGGAGGAAACAGCAGTGAACTTGGAGGTGAGCATCGAGACACCTCAAAGTGTCCACGCCACCAGGCTTTTCGGGACTGTCTGGTCCAAGGACAGCTGGAACATAGGAGGTGCTTTCTCTTCCCACTCCCCATGGCCATGGCAGATACCACGAGTCCATCATGGCGCCACTCTTGCTCGCTGCATGGGACCCAGCCTCGGGATCCCCCAGCACAGGACTCTAGGAATAGGCACTCGAGGTGCCAACACCCTCGTCTGGCCCAAACCCTCATTTGTCAAGTGAGAAAACTGAAGACTGAGGAGGAAATAAGTTCCAGAGTTATTTTTAGTTCGTGGAAAAGCTAGGTCTTCACTTCCCCCATCTACCATTTTTAAAAAGCACACGTGGAAGATGCCACGAACGCCCACCTGGGGCACAAGGGAGAGGGGGAAGGAAGGAGCATGAAGGGGAGGCGAGAGGTGAAGAGGACGTCAGCCCACGGGGCCGCTGGCCGGTGGGGGCCGTGCTGCAGGCCGGCTCCAGGTCAGTTCTCGAAAGTCATTCTCCAATTGCAAAAACCTCAGACGCAAACCTTCCCCAGGTCTAGAACAGAGCAGTGAAGCCCTTTTTTGAGGAGCTAGGGAGAGATATTGGGGCAGGGGAGGGGAGGAGTCTGCAAAATAGTCAGAGAGCCACATTTAAGGAAAAGGCTGCCTGTTTGCTTACAAAATGGCAGGAGAGGAAGGGGACGTCACGTAGGGCCAGGGACCGGGGAGAAGCCCCATGCGCTGAGATCACGGTAAACTGCTTTTAAGGGAAAGTCCACAGGTTCCCATAGGAAGTGGGAAAGGTCAGGGAAAGAGCAGCGCCACAAACTGCAACTTTGAAAAACCATCCATAATTCAGTGGATTGGACATTTGGAGAATCCATCTTTCAGCAAACTGATTTTCAGAGAATTGGCTTTGGCAGCTTGATCTTGGCCTACTTCCCCAAGGCCGGAGGGTGAGAAATCGCAGGAAGCGAAAGGCTGCAGGAAGAGGCCAAGAGGCAGCATCTCCTGTTTGGGTCCACAGCCTGGTTTCCTGCCTCAGTGAACCCCCCAGGCAGTTTTTACGTCTTCCCAGATTAGCTGTGCCTGGACCTGACGAGGCGAATGTTCCCTGGGCTTTAAAGAACTGGGAGACAGAAGGAAACTGATGGGCCTGCCATGGGGCAGCCACGGGGGCTGACGGGCACCGAGGAAGGGGGCCCAGACAAGGTGCCAGCAAGAGGGCTGTGAGTCCAGGGGAGCCCTGGCACCCTAAATGTACCCACGTAACCTTGCGAACAAAGATGTCCTAACTTAGGGCTGTCCCCCAGGGACAGGATGGTTTAACTGTTAATGGAGTCCTTCTACACAGAGATCTTTATTTCTGTTTCCCAGGTAACAAATCCCCAAAAGAATTCTTACCACGGAAGTTGGGGTGATAAGAGTCGTGGTGCCCAAGATGCCATTTGCCTGTAGAAAAACCAGAGAGAGAGATTTTCAGAAGAATCCCCGTAGGGGCACCGAGCCCCTCTGAGAGCTGATCATGTACTCAGTTCTCGGTCGGCTTCGTGCTGTGCCCAGGACAAGCAAAGACAGGCCGCCAGTGCAGTGCGGAAGCCAAGCCTCGCTCTCTGGGGCCGAGAGGGAGTCCGGGGGAGACAGAATGCGAGGATCACTGCAGACCCACCGAGGAAACCCACAGAGAAAGGGGGCGTCAGGCCGTCCCTGGGAGCCAGGAGCCCAGGGAAGCCGGCAGGCTGCACCTCTGGCCCTCAAAGGGGGTTCCGCAGCCACAGCGACCCCACACTTGCACCCTCCACTCTGTCCGCCCACGCTAGGGCCCTGTAAAGGCGTTGGGTGGCCCTGGGTGCAGGTGCACCGCCCCACATAGTCTCAGAAATGCTCCCTGCCCGTCCGGTTTCATCAGCTTCCTCTCTGGCAACATCAGCAGCCACAGTTCAAGCCGTGAGATACCTACGGGGCAGCAAATGAGGAAACTCGGACACCCCGCTGCTGCCTGCTCCGCAAATGGGTTCAGTCTGGGGGAATAATTGGGCAACGTGTGGCAAGAGCTCTGACAATGTCAGAACTCTCTGATCTGCTCATTCCACTCTGAGGAGCGGACCCCAGGGAGATCACCCCCAAGGCGAGGGGGCAAAGAAAAGAATTCGGAACAAAGATCAAAACAGTGGCAGCATTAAACTGCACAAAGGACAGAAATCAACGGGCACCCGCAGGAGTATGTCTAAGCAAATCATCTCCTGTGGCCTTAATAAAATACTACCAAGCTGATTAAAGACAAACGCATGTAGCAAAATTCTACAATCAGTGACTCTGGATGAGGATGTATGGGAGTCCATTGTTTCCCTCTTGCAACTGCTCTATAGGTTTGGGGGGGAAAATTAATAAAAAATTGAGGGAAATGGATTAAGCATTATGTGGAAATACATTAATAAAACAATATTAAAATTATAACATTTATTTTTTTAATTATAAAAATTATATAAATAGGTAAAATTATATTACATGGAAATACAAAATACCATGAAGGAGAAAACAAGTAGAGCCAGAGGTATGTACACAACCGGGTAAAAACACACACACAGACCAAGATTAGAAGCAAAGTGTGAGTTTTATAAATGGATTCGATATTCCTTTGGTGGGTTTTTAATTTCTCCTGCAAGTGCGCTTTAGTCCATAATTTCAACAAGTGGATGTGCTTAAGTATCCTGCCCAGGACTCGCAAAAGGTGCCGTGAGTAGCGAGATGAGGGGATGGCAGCAAAACAAATAGTCAACCCGCAATCAGATGCTCACCCGGAGTTTAAAGGCACGGGGGCGGGGGGGTGAGGGGTTGGTGTAGGTGAGATCGAACCCAGCTCCAGAAGCAGCCAGCCCCCTCCCGCAGCACAAGGTTTGAGAGGCGGCAGCCCTGCGACCAAACCTCTCCTGGCTGCGAGGTTTAAATGGATGCACGTCACCCCATGTCACTCGTCTAGGAGGGTAGTGAGCCCACAGGGGGAGCTTCACCAATGGAGTCTTGGTGTTCATGTTGCTAACGTAATTATACCTCTGCGTATGGAGAGAAAGGATTTGGGACGGGCCTTAATTGGTCTGTCCGACCGCCTGGGGCTTGCCCTTCCGGGACAATGAATGCCACACTCCAGTCTGAGCTTAGGTGGAAGGATGTCAGGCTATTGGATAACCGAGGGGGGCAGGTGGGGCCAACGCCAGGGGTGCCAGCCCTGGGTCTGGGTGGAGCAACCTCCTGCAGGTGGACCGGTTTGCGTCAGCACCATCACAGGCCCACAGGGACCCTCCCTTGCCGTTTCCTGCACGGTGGAGAGAGGCGGGGACCCCCGGGACCCAGCTCTTTGAGAGTTAGACTAACAAGCACAGGCAGCTGAGATGCTGTTGGGACTACCAGTCGTCTTGGCCCCTGGAGGGGAGGCAGGCAGTGAAGCAAAGCCCGGGGTGCGGCCGGCCAGGCGCACCTGGCTAGGTCCTGCCTCCACCCTGCCCAGGCTGGGCGGCGTTGAACAACTGCCCCCCCACCTGAAACTCAGTTCTCTCACCAATACAGGGGGAAATAATAATCGCAATGCAAACAAACACTTAGCCCAGTGCCTGGGACACAGTAAATGCTGAGCGAGAGGTGCCTAAAAAAACACAATTTAAAGGGACAAGAAGTCATTGGACAATGTGGCAGACGCTGCTGGTGTCCTACCCAGTACCCATGTCCCCACCTGCCTGCTAATGGAACTGTGCTTTTTGTTCAGGATGGGGGATCACCGTGCCCAAGTCCAAGTCAATCAATTATAATCTTGTCCCCAATTTCTCAGCCGGCGGGGGCGGGGGGAGGGGAGTGGGGGGAGGTGCAGTGAGAGGCAGCCACGTGACCCAGCTCCAGCCAATAAGATTTGAGTACAATTCTGCTGGGACTGGGGGATTGTCTGAGAAAAGCTTTGCTCTCCTGATAAAAGTGGACAAACAAGGCTGGCACCACCTCTAATCTCTTCTTCCTTGCTTGAGCCAAGTTACGGTAAAGGGCACCGAAGTCGCTATATGGCAGCCACGAGGCCACAAGCGTGAGGACGAACAAACACCAATGTGCTAACAATGGCAGAGCAGAAAGAACTAGAGCACCTGGCTCTTGGTGGCATCTTTGAGCGGTCGGGCTAATGAAGGCAACCGCTTACCTTGAAGCTTGTTTTAGTGGGAGGAAAATGGCTCCGTATATGTTTTAATCTACTGTTAGGTCTTTCCAATGGCTTATAGCTGAGAGCATCTCTGCCTTGGCCAGCAAGAAATGAAGAAGGAAGAGACAAGAGCAGAAGAGGCGGCAGCGTGCAGACGGGGCCCACCTTTACCTATCATCCCAGTGACGTAACCCGCCTGCCGCAGCACCTCTGCCAGGGTGGTCTCGTTGAGCGGAAGGCCCCCCACAGAGGCGACTGCAAAGTTGTGTGTGACTCCATTGCGAAGGCCGAGCCTACCGGTGAGCAAGGAGGCTCGGGAGGGTGAGCAGGTGGAGGCAGCTGCGTGGAAATCCACAAACCTGTGTGGAAAGGGGAGGGGTCAGTTTGAGTGTGTTCACAAGGGCAGGAAATTTAAAAAGCGGGGGTGGGGGAAGTGGTCAGGGCCTCGCCAACCACAGGATGCCAAAGCAAGAGAAAAGGCGGTGCCCACTCATTTCCTGGGATTCTGGTGCTGGGAAAAAGCCGGGAAAGAAAATGAAACCCAGAGAGGTAATGCAACTAGGCCAAGGTCACACAGCTCATTCTAATTGATTTAATCCAACATGTTCAGACAACCCTCTTTATTTGCAGATTCTATATTTCAAATTTGCCTACTCACTACTTTTTAATCCCAAAATCAATCCTCGAGGCTCCTCAAGGTCATTCACAGACACAGGCAGACCTGGAAAAATGTGAGTCACCCCGATGCGCACATTCCCAGCTGAGGTCAAACAACGTGACCTTCTGCCTTCTTGTTTCAGCTCTCACGCAGTAAACAAGTGTCCTCCCAGTCTATTTACTCCCAAAGTTTTCACATTTTTGTGCTTCTTGCTGGTGATTTCACTGTTTCATGGCCCCCAAGAGTAGCGCTGAAGTGCTGTGTCATGTTCCTAAGCACGAGCAGGCTGTGATGTGCCTTACGGAGAAAATACATATGTTAGATAAGTTCCCTTCAGGAATGAATTATGCTGCCGTTGGCTGTTAGTTCAATGTTAATGAATCAAAAATATAGATTAAAGAAGGTGGTCTTTAAACAGAGGTGCACATCAAACACAGTTATGTGTTGATCAGTGGATGAAAATTCTGTGACCACAGCCTCGCAGGAAACTAACCCTATATTTCCGTTAGGAACAAAGGTTCAGTATTCACTAATTCAGTGTTTACAGTGACCTTATAGAACATAGCTATGGCCAATAACAAGAATTGACTGAATTTCTTACATATTACTGTATTCTCAGCCCTAAATATAAAAGAAATCTAGGCATGGTCCTACCCCCGAGGAATGTGCAGCCTCATTGAGAAACAAGACATGAGCAAATTCAAGTAGCGATAATACACAACAGCATGTCATTAAGACCCCTAATAAGTAACAGAGCCATAGGAAATGAAGACAAGAAACGTTCTAGTATCAAGACAGGGAGAAAGAAGTGGTGAAGGTCTAAGGATCAGAGAAGTCTCCATAGTGGAAGTAGGACTGAGGTTGGAATCTAAAAGATGGGGCTATCATGAACACTTTGAAAATCACAAGGACAGGCATTCCCAGTGGAGGAACAGCAAGATATTTTAATTCCTGCAAAAGGAAACACTGGAAGGATATACCAGAAGCTAATAAAAAATGGTTTCCCACAAGGGGTGGGAGAATTGGCCTGTGGCGGGGGCAGGGAAACAAGCTTCTCTGCAATATGTTGTTATACAGTTTGACTTTTGCACAATGTTAATGTTTGATATAGTCAAAAAGTAAAATTATATCACAAAGGAAAAAAATAAGCAGACCCTATAATAAAATGCAACACTGAAACAAATGAATCCAACTCTATAACAAACTGTTAATATGACCACACACAGGAAAGAATCATTTCGAGTAACATTAGCACACAGTATTCTGGCTGTACATCCTTAGTGGGATATATAAATCTAAGGGCAAAAAGAGCTGCAAAGAAAGCTTAAACTTCACTCAGTAGCTGTATTACTGGCAGCAATATTGGTATTGGGATTTTGAAACTATTATATGTAATATGGTCGAGTAAGACAAATAAGTAATTATATTAATGTTGCTAATAGGGAACCAAGATTTTCGGTGTAAGAGGTAAAGATACAAAAATAAAAGAAGTTAGGAACCAGGTGTGCTGGCTTACACCTGGCTCCCAGCTACTGCAGAGGCTGAGGCTTTAGCCCAGGAGTTTGGGATTGCCGTGAGCTATGATGGCGCCACTACACTCCAGTCTGGGCAGCAGAGCAAGACCCTGTCTCT